GCTAACTTAGATTAATAGTGGGAATGACCAGGGTGTGAAAACTGAGTGTTCTGTTTTCCTCTCCTTTTCTCTTTGTTTTTGTGTTTGTATGTGTGTCAAAGTCTTTATGTGTCCTCAAGGTAAATGTTAACTGTTGGATGTCTCTAATCCCTAGAGAAAAGAATTTTAAAATTCTGCTAGAAATTCTGCTTAAAATAAGCCACCAAAGGATATACTCTCACCTTGTTTGTTTGACCAGCAAACAGGGTGAAGAGAAATGTGTTGGGTTTTTTTTTTTCCTTTCTCTCTCTGTACTCTTAAGAACAGCCCAAAGTTACCAGGAGGAAATGTTTTAAGTTCATCTGCTGGAAAGGTTTTTCTCTTGTATTTACTGTATGTGTTGTAAATGAATTTTATCTGTCTATCCTTTTCCTGAAATATGAGGTGTGTCTAGCTACAAGAGCATCCTGAAGCTCAAGTTTGCTTATGTAGGTAACTAATCTTCTTCTTAAGTTACTTTTCTTATCCCATCACTAATTAGTGAAACTATATGAAGCTAATCCTGAAACTTATAAGCATTTTTTAATCTCTAAAATAATGTGGTCTATTTTAGAATAAATGTTAAAGGTAGACTCTCTTGCCCCTGGCAAATTGCACACCTTAAAATATTAGGCTTTTAAAATTTATTTGGAGCTCTCAGCATTCTCAAGCTGCCCAGCATTTTCAAGTTGCAAGTCCTTAAGTCCTCTCTAACATGTTGCAAATATTCAATTTCAGAAATGAGACCTTTCATTTTTGTTCTCTTAGCAGAATCTAGCCTTTCTTTTGTCCTCATCTGTGATTTTCTCATTTTGTCTTCCTATCTGTTTCTTTAACCACTGCAGTATTAATGCCTCTTCAAATTCTGTCTGCAAGCTACCCCTTCGCCCCCCCCCCCAATTCTATTTTTCCTTTTCTTATCCTCTGTTCTCCATGCCTTTGTCTGCTTCTTCTGGGAGAGTCCACCCAGAAAGGGAGGAGAGAACCTTGTTCTCATATCTTTCAGCCCTGCATAGAAGAACCCCACAACCTTTGGAAGCAGAGCACACTAACCCAGATGCTGCCTCCATCCGTTTGAGCCAGGAAATTGGGTTTGAATCCAGCCATTCACTAGAAAGCCACCATGCAACCAGAGTGGAACAGATCTTCCCAAGTCCTACCATTCCCCCAGATGCCTGTGAAAGCTGCAGAGGAAGGAAGGAGTCCTGGAGACAGCGGCCCCATGTGAAGCCTCAGAAGACAACTGGAAAGACAATGGGGGGAGGGCAGAAACTCATTGTAAGGTTTTCTTTCTTGCCCCATTTGTATTGTAATTAATCAGTTGAAGGGATTCATGGAGGGATGCATTTGGAAATAGTTGGCACAGCAAATACTGAACACCTCGGACTTCTGTCTGGTGGGAGGAACATTTGTCCAGAATGTTTGTTTTGCCTGTTTTCTATTAGTAGTTGCATACACACACAAATAATCACAATCATAATCACACTGAGTCTATCCCTTTCACCTACCTTCAGTAAAGCTCTCCAGGCAGATTTTTGCTCTGTGGCATTAAAGCTTTGCATGCACAACTTGCTGCAAATTCCAAGGGGGAGAGAAACCAAGCCTCCTCAGGTGATTTGCAATTTATATGCTCTCACTGAGTAGGTAGCAGGAAAGAGATCTCCAAACCTAAGCTCTAAATATCTTGCACTGGTGGACTCAGAGTGAGAGTCCTAGGGCTCACTATATGCAATTTAAGAAAATTTAATAGACTGGCTTGCACACTGGCTAACCTCAATTGAACATCACAAACCTGGATGCACTGAACTAAGAGCTAAGGCAGGAAACAACCCTTGAAATGGGCAGCCAGTGGTTATGTATTGAGGCAAAACATGGCTGTGAGGAATTTTGGGGAATGTGCAAACCTAACTGGAAACTCAAAACTTAAACATCAAATGTTTAAAAAGAATTGGCACAGAATATTGGACACTATAATTGTTTTTCCATCTACAGAACTTTTGCCCTGGCTTTAGACATTCATGGTTGAAAGGCTACTCTTTTGGGAGCCATTGCAGGGATTTGTTTCTGCTGGTACTATTAGTGTCTTCTTCTTTTTTTTGCATTAACAGTTTAAAAGTTTGTCTATCAAGTCTTTCTGACCAGAACAATTTTAATTTTGTGTCAGTAAAAGTGTGTTGTCCAGACTCTTATGGCACAAAGGGGGGATTTGTGGGAAATGAGCCCCCCCACCCAGAGAAGGAAATATTAAAAGGGCAGAATATTATATTTCCTCAAAGGATCTTAAAGAGGCAGAAAAGCATGCAAAGTTTTTCTTAATAGCCCCAAGTCTCCCTCCCTCAAGCAGAAACCAGCTCTGTAGAAATGCAGATGTGATAATCCATTCAGGAAGGTTGTAGCCCTCCAGCTAGAAGCTTAGGAAGACAAAGACACATAAAATCTGCATACCCCACCCAAACTCTAGAACAGGACATAATAGGATTAACCCACAGATGCCAAAGGGGCACACTCAGACTCAGGTCAAAGTACATGACACAGGAAATACAAAGCCTCAAACAGGAACAGGAAACAACTCCAAACAAAAGCCCAAGAGGGTATAAAAACCCACTCCCTGCTACATATAGACTCTTTTTTTCCAGAGTCACCTTTCTGTCTGACTCTCTTCTTCAATAAACTACAACCTTCTTTCTAAAGCAGTTGCCATATTGTTTATTCCTGGCTTGGACTGGACCCTGATGAAGACTTTTCCTTCAACATTTCATTGACTTTTCTTGCAGAACATGCTAAAGCAGAGACAGCAGCTTTTGGGGCTGGTAACATCTGGGATTTTGAGAACATACTGAACAGGCAAAACAGCCGTTTATGGAGAATAGCCCGTTCATAAAAGATGCTAAGTTACAAATCACTAATAAATTGTCTTTACTATCTCTGCTATTTATCTCTCCCCTTTCTTTTGCACAGGAATCTTAAATTACAAATGGGATGCTATTCATAGAAAACAGAAGGGATCCTCACATGACACTACAAATTCAGTTTGGTCAGGAAGGATGTGTGGGACTCAACAGTTGTCTGTAACCACACTCCTACTGAAAGAACCACAAATCTCCTCCCAAAGGTGCTTTTTCAAGAGGCAACTGGACTTTCTGGTTTTTCTTTGAAGATGTTTTGCTTCTCATCCAAGAAACTTCTTCAGCTCTGACTGGATGGTGGAGAATGGAAGGATTTATAGGAATATAAATCCAAATATAAATCCAAATCCAATATAAATCCTTCCATTCCCCACCATCCAGCCAGAACTAAAGAAGCTTTCTTTGAAGCAAAACATCTTCAAAGAAAAACAAGAAAGTCCAGTTGCCTCTTGAAAATACACCTTTGGGACCACCATGAGTGGATGACTGAGAATCTCCATACACACACATGTCCTCCTTCTTTCCTAATAAATAACCACTGGTTATAGATGAACTTTGCAACACAGACATATTGATGTAATTTAAGAGCAGTTCTATACACATTTCCTCATAAGTGCCCCCTAGCTTCTTTTTATGGGTGGTTTTGTTTACTGTTTCAGAAGGATATCTAGATACACATGTGACCAATATTTATGAAATCCAATGGTATTTTGAATTGCAAGTGAGTTTGATACTCCATAGTGGGAGATAATCAATTTTGTAAAAAGAAAAAAAATCTATATTAATTTCTTCTGCATAATTGGGCTGCATCAATAGAATTGTACATGACTAGTACCAAAGAGCAGATATATTTGATTGTAATCCGTGCTAACACCTTATACTGGCAGCTTGTCTGAAAATCCTACAGAGCCTGTATTCACAGAGCTTGTGTTTAAACTCTTATGATTAGCAGTTCATTAGTGACAACGTCTTTTTCTTTCTTGGTATTGCTTTGTTCATATAACAAGAAGGGCTTCTTTCCGTTTCCTTTTCCCCTTTTGCTCCATTTCATTTGCACACAGTTCAAGACAAGGGTTTTTCCCCTTCTCCCCTCACCTCATTCTCATTCACACATCCATTAATGCATTTCAGATGGAATGGAAAACCTGTTTATTGTCATGGCCAGCTCAGACTTTTACAAGGAAACCAACAAAGAGCAGCCAATCCCAGAACTGCCAGGCAATCCTGAGCAGCTGCAGGCAGAAGAGTTTACACCAATTGTCATCCAGGAAACACAGACGCCACCTTTCTCAGGAAAAGGGGAGTCTGAGCTGCCACTCCCTGCCAATGCAAGGGCTCACCATGTGAAAAGGAGAGCAGAGCAAAGGTAATTTGTGACGCTCCATGCAAGAAAGGAGCCTTCTCTTTCCAAATAAGCAACACCGGAGTTCCTTGTATTTAATAAGAGCAGAATGCTGAAGCCTCTCCATTGGCAACAATTGCTTGTTAACCTAGATTCCGGTACCTTAATTCTTGTCTTGAAATCTTGTGATTGTGATTCTGGACCTAGATTGGCTGATGATTGGATCTTGGAAGAATTGGATCTCGGAACTTCCCCTGACCACTCTTCTGGGGAATTTGATTTCTCATGTGTGTGTGTTTGTGTGTGTGTGTGTGTGTGTGTGCTTGTGTATTTCATGCATCAAAAAGTCTCTTGGAATATTTCTTGTTCTACAAATGTTGAATGTATTCTATATACTTTATCCATGTCTCCAACTGTATCTTCCCCAATCAAAAAAAATCCCAAGACATTAATAATTTCTTTAATATCTTTTTCAGAAATATATGAGATTAAGTGGCAAAGAGGACATCACCATGCATTTTGTGACCTTTCTCTTCAAAGATCATCATCACCCAGTTCTCTAATTTAGAAGAGTAGATCAGAACATTAATTTCAATTATAACATCACTGTTTTAATATTGTAAAAGAAAGGGAGGATTACAGCTGATAAATACTAGTATATATCATTCTCAATGTCCTCTGTCAAGTTAAAAATGTCAGTCGTCCATGCTAAGAGATAGTATTCCTAAAGCAAAAAAGATTCTACAACATTTATTCTTAAGCCCCAGAGAATTCCATCGAATGGTTTCCTGCAGACAGTAGACTAATAATCAGACAAAAAATATACATTAATGCTGCAGAAAGAAGAAGAGAGAAAATATTAGCTACCTGTAATTTACTTTCCTTGTTTGTTTTCAATTTCTAATTCATCTGTCAATAAGTGAAAGACATTAGAAAGTTGTTATGTTTTGAAAACCTACATAAGTGCAGGGGGGGATGGGCAGATATGAGGCTATTATATTTTTCCCAGACATGCAAGTTAGTTGACCTCACAGGAAGTGGAGTCCTGCAAGTTGTCGAAGAAAACACTGTCTGGAGAAAACATGGAAGGATCATCATCAAAATAATTGTATGGTCTCAAGAAGAAACCAACTTCATTCCCAAGGGTTGCAGTATTGGGTACGTCCTCAGCATGTGGAATATGGAGAAAGCCAGCATTGATCCAGGCAACCAGATCCTGTGAAAGGAAAAGGGACAATATTGTTGTAATATCTTAGGGAAAAGACCTGTTCAATATAAAGGTAGTACAAGAATGGTTTAAAAAATTAAGTTTGTTAAGTAAGGTAGCAGATGATTTAGTAAAACCTGAGAGTAGGATTTTTTTTTTTTTTTGGTCTACTCAGAATTAGGGATGTGTACAGTAGAAATGGAAAATTGGGAATACAAAACTGTTAGCAAGGACCTTATATCCATTCTGCAGAATTATAGGATAATAATCTGCAAGGAGCTTCAGTGCTAGGTATCATCACCTCATTGACAATACTCTCATTGTTTATAAAGTCAGCAAAGGCCACGGGAGGTTTCCATGGATCAACCTGATTGTAGGGAGTGGTGCTGACAGATTCATTTTCCTTCCTCTTTGTAACAGCCAGCTTATAACTGAAAAGGAAAAAAAGAGGAGTTGCAGAGATTGAGATTTATTGATTATTAGTTCTTCTTAAGATCTTCAAAGGTTATTGTTCCAGACATAGATCTTGAAAGGCAATATAATGACAAGATATTGTTCCATGACAGCCTAACTATAAAAATATAGGACAATCATTGTTCTAACTCATTCTTAAAATACTTATGAAATTTGAGATGATTTTAGACTTGAACTACCATATATAATTCCATAGATGAGCTGCAGAACCACAAGACCACTGTGGAGATCTATGCCAAATTAGCAGGTGTCATGGGTTTCCATCCTGGTAGGGAGTTGATTAAATATACTGATCCCAAACCACACAGGAAATTAAACTTCAGACTAGATCCAGAAATGCAAGAGTACAAATTTATAATACTATGGCTCAGATTTCTTCAATACTCGACCAGAACTAGTGGAAAGGCATGCTGAAACCAGCAGTCTTTTCAAAGGGGATGCATGGAAAGTATTACAAAAATCAAATAAGGGAGAAAATTATGCACGGCTACCAATAGACAGGTCTTTATAACTGATATAAACTTAAAACTGTATTTCAGGCAATAATTTTACCTTTAATTTATATTGTTTGTTTTTGCTAAATGCCATTCTATCAATTTTTTTTTTAATTTAAATTTTACACCTCAAAATTGATCTGGTTCAGGATTTCCTTGCCATTTGGGGACACATTGGAGAAAAGGAAAGATTGTAAGGCTCATCTTGCTTGATAGTATTAACCTCCAATAATCTGTAGCCTTTATCTTAGATCAAATTGAAGATAATATCAGAAATGGAACATTGACACATGGAAAGTCTTTTAACTACTCTTCCAACCATGATTATGCTCATAACCCCAAACATACTATATTTATCAAAGAAACTGTTTCTCGCTATGTAATCCAATAGTGGATTGTTTATCAGCAGTGATGAATATAAACTATAAAATTTTTGCACAGTCTGAATAGTGTTTTTTTCTCCCTTTATATGTTCCATAGTTGGAAATGGAAAAGTTTTCCTTAGCAAATATTTGATCATTATCCATACTTTTTAACCACATCATCCACAACAAAGCATAACAAAAGTGAGATGGATATATAGATTTTTTTTAATGAATAAATTTGAAAGTTCCTGCCTACCTTATTCAAAGTGCTGAAATGCAAAGACACGGTTGAATCTATTTTACTTTGACCTTAAAAATCGGTCACTTACCGACCCCAGCTGAGGCCTCGCTCCATTGGATCTGACTCCGGCAGATGTTCTCCAGAAAAGCTGACCATCTGGATCCTATAGCCTTGCTTATGGCCCCACTTGTTTGTGTGGTTGGATGCAAAAAAAATGTTTCTGGGCATATCATCATGGAGATGGAATGAAGCCTTGTTCTCGGTGTCAAAAAGTTCCCTCACCATCTTCATTTGATAGATCTTATGTTCTGGGCTCCAAGGGGCCCTCAAGGTCTCAAAAGCCATGTCATTGCGAACCAGGGTATTTTTCACACCTCAGAAAGAAATCAAGTGCAACACTCAGTACTTGAGCAACTGTTGATGGATCAGAACTCTCCCTTTGCATTTTCATCTTCTTAAAATCAAAATTGTTTCTACTCTAACATTTTGCTAACCTAGAGATGAAGTTGTCATAATTAGTTCTTCAGGCTAAATATCAACAACGTAACTCAGTGTGATAAAACAACCTTTGCAATTTTAATAAACAGCAGCTCATTCATTAAATAAAACCATCTGAAAATGACCTAAAATGATAAAACTGAATTAGAGATTTTGCATAAGTGAAATATTTCAGTTAATTTTTTATTAGAACAAATCATTTAGATTGTTTATGAATTCTCCTTTATTGATTGGTTAATATGTAGATGAAACCAGCTGGGAACTTGTCAGCTTCAGATCTTTTAAATCTACATTCACCTCTCGAGTATTACAATCTCACCCCTTTCCCTGAAAATGTTTTTTTCATATTAGCAAAGAAGGATTTTCTACCATATTTCCCCAAAAATAAAACTCTACCAGAAAAAAGACCCACCCTGATTTTTGGGAGTGGACCTAATATAAGCCCTACTCCAAAAATAAGCCCTAATTAGGACCCTGCCCACTCGGTCCCACCTGGCTGCTTCAATGGGGCAGAAGGCCATGTGACACATCGCGCCACTGCCACCACAAGAAGGCAAGACAGGAGGAGGTGGAGCTGCCCCATGGACGCATCACCCACTTCCTTCAGGCCCCCCCCCAAGCCAGGCCATTCCTTGCTCCCTTTATCTCCCCTCCTGAGCTGGACTGCCATGGTACCATACAGAGGATGGGTGGGGTAGGCCTAGTCCCCTTCTGCCATTTTGGAGCCAAGGAGGAGTGATGTCGAAAGGCTCCGTTGCTATGCACCACTGGAGGGGTTTTCTTCATGGTCCGCCCCACAAATCACTTGCCCAGCAGCAACAGCCACCTCCTCCTCTGCACAAGCCTTCCCCACCACGTCCCATCGCCATCATTGGAAAGAACAGAGAACGGGAAGCAGAACAGATCTGCACAGCAATGCAGAGCAGACAAGAGCACTTGTTTGCCACCCTGCATTGCCCCGCGTCTCCCTTCTCCATTCTTGAAATGGCAGCCCCATTTCCTGCCGCCTCTCCTCCTAAAAGCAAAAAAATTTAACACTTATCTGCTTTCCAGCTCTGACGGGTTTCTCTCCTGCTCAGGGAAATGGACTTTGTGGGACTAAACAAAGTTTAGTCAGGCCTTCCAATTTCTTATGAAAAAAAAGATCTTGTAGCAGGAGAGAAACCCGCCAGAGCTGGAAGGCAGATTAGTGTTGATTATTTTTGCTTTTGGGAGGAGAAGAGGCAGAAACAAGGCTGCCATTTCAAGAATGGAGAAGGGAGACATGGGGTGATGCAAGGCAACAAGCAAGTGCTCTTCTTTGCTCTGCATCACTGCGCAGAGTCGCTTCACTTCCCGTTCCCATTCTTTCCAGTGATGGCAACGGAGGGCTGGCAGAAGGAGGCGGCGGGGGAGACTTGTGCTGCCCAGTCATGGTGCAAGCCACGGGAGAGTTGGCAGAGGAGAAGAAGGAGGCAGCTGCCCCTGGGCAGGTGATCTGTGGGGTGGAGCATGAAGAAAGCCCCTCCAGCACAGAGGAGCCTTTTGCCGTCACTCCCCCCCTGGCTCTGAAACAGCACAGGGGGGACCAGGCCTACTCCACCCATCCTCCATACAGTGGCAGTCCACTCAGGAGGGGAGTGAAAGGGAGCAAGGAATGGCCTGGCTGGGGCGGCCTGAGGAAGTGTGGGGGGGGGGCATGTGGGGCAGCTCCATCCCCTCCCCCACCTGCCTGGCCTCATTGTGGCGGCAGCAGTCTCCTGCCGTGAGCAGCTGCAGAGGAAATGAGCCAGCAGCCATGTGGGCTCCTGCTGGATGGGGCTGTTGGTGCCGCTACTGCGAGGTGAGGCAGGTGTCACAAAAAATATAACACACTGCCCAAAAATAAGATTTAATCCCTTTTTGGAGGCAAAAATAATATAAAACTGGTTCTTACTTTCAGGGAAACACAGTATATATTCATCTTGTCTACTTCATAAGGGACCCTGACTTAAAATTTACATTACAATTTTCATGTGTTTGCCACATCAACATGCAAGAAAACCACACCACTAATTTTCAGCAAAAATGGGCAATAGGTTTTGGTTCCTAGTCAATCCAGACATACAGGAACTTCATGAAAGCAATGTTTATAAACACAACAATAGCATCCACTTTGTGGTATTAGCAAAAGAGTTTTATGGGCTCATTGAGCAGAAAGCAGCAGCATTTAAAATGAATCAGTGCTAGAAAGAATATGACAGAGAGAATGTGTCTATGTAACAGAGAGGAAGGAATAGAAATATATAATTGGACCTAATAACTACAGATAGTCCTTGACTTACAGTCTCAATGGAGCCCAAAATTTCTATCCCTAAGAGAGGTTTGTTAAGGGAATTTTGCCCTGTTTTATAATCTTTCTACCCACAGCTGTTAATCACTGCAGTTGTTAAGTTAGTAACATGGCTGTTAAGTGAATGTGGCTTCTCCATTGGTTTTGCTAGACAGAAGGTCGCAAAAGGTGATCACATGATCCCTGGACACTACAATCATCATAAATATGAATCAATTGCCAAGTGTCTGAATTCTGATCACAAGACCTTGGGGATGCAACAGTGGTCATAAGTGTGAAAATGGTCATAAGTCACTTTTTTCAATGCCATTATAATGTTGCATGATCACTAAAATACTTTTGTAAGTTGGAGACTACCTATGTTATGAAATAATATTTGTTTGGAAATGTTAGTGTAGTGTTGCCTCCTGCAAGGGCCACTAGAGTCTGGGTCCGTCTGTCCCTGTCTCCAGGCAGTTAGGTTCTTCCCTGCTCTCAGTCACTTGCCAAGCATCTCAATATCCCTCTCTCTGTCCCTCAATCTGCCCTCAGCCCTCTCTAGCAGCTGGCAGATGCACCTCTGCTTGCTCAGCTAACCTGCCTAGCTCCCCTCTGTCATCCCCTGGCACTTCAGGCTCTCCTTTATTCATTGGCTCGCTCACATACACTGGCTATGTGGTGGGGTGACATTAGGGCAAGTAGATGAGCCTTTCTCCCACCCCTCTCTCTTCTCAAACCTTGCTCTGCTTACTTTGCCCCCTTCTCTATTTCACTGTGCTGTCTCCTCCGTTTCACCTTGTTTCTACTTGCCTCGCTCTCTCTCTCTCCTGTTTTCCTTCCTTGCTTCTCCTTTTCTGTTCTCTTTTGTCCCACTACGTTTTGTGACAAGACAGTGAAATAAATATTCTTCATTAAAAAGAAACCCTCCCTTCTCCTGAATTGAAGTTCAAGAACATTACTAAGAGAATAATAACCATACTCTTCAATCTTTCTTCATTGTAGTACCTGCAATCATTAGAACAATTGTAACAAAGCAAATTGGGACAAAGAGCCTATAATTTCCATGCAAATGATAAACATTTTTTTCTACTTACCACCAATATCCAAATCCACCTTGAAATGAATATTATGGGTATGAATTGAACCCAGCACCCATTCTTGCACTTTATTGCCAAAGTCTCTGGCATCACCAAAGTAGAAATCAGACATCATGTACCCAGTGGCATGGACCTGAACACCAACTGCTCCATTTTGGTGGAAAATAAAATCCCAGACAAAGTCATAGTTGCCAGATGAAGTTATGGTTCGGAACACCAGATTTGAATCTGCCAACCCTCCATAAAAAGGAGACTGTACACTTTCAAAATGTCGTCGTATGGGTAACTCAGCATTCTGCTCAAAGATGCAGATAGCATTTTTACGGCTAACAGGTAATGAAGTATCATAAAAAAAGTGAAAGTCCAAATAACTGGATAAATAAGGACAATCTAGACCCTGGGTGAGGGGAAAAATACGGGACCCAATTCCAAAGCTGGAATCCATGTATCTGGTCAACATGGATTTAGGACTGTTGGAGCCATAGATAGAGCTTGCTTCTTGCAAACTTAACTCATAAATTATTCTTTCTCCATTAAACCTGACATCAAAGATACGTGGACCCCTGCTTGCATCAATTCCAAATGCAAAACTCCATCTCAGAAAAGTGACATGATTATTGCGAATCATATAGCGTGGTCCACGAGGTTCATACTGCAAAGGGTCTGGATCTTTTGGAGGCACCCTCTGCTTCAGTGATGAGTAACCCCCATCAAGAGGGGCTTCTTTAACCTTGTCTACTCTAACCTTTCCCATATTGAATTGTTGCTCAAGATCTTCCATGTCTTCAAAGTACTGTCCATTATAAAATACATTGATTACCTTCCACTCAGGAACATTCAAGCTACTATGATCCACTTGGACCTCAAAACCAACTGGATGCAAATAGTGTCCAATCACATTCTGCAAATGGCTCATCCACATTTTGCGATCTCCTGATTTCAGCCCTAATGGAAGTTGATGATCGTATTGAATATTGCTTCCACTGTAATTTAGAACCTTTTGCATGAAATTTGGAGCCTTAAGATATTCGTCCTTTAAGAATTCATGGATTTCATTAAACTCATTTGCTAAAACAAATCTTTGAGAATAAGGCAATTTCCTTCCATATTTCTGTACCGTGATATCTTGATGGTATATTGGCTCTGGAAGAGGACCCACCACAAATTCTGTCACATTGGGGTCCACCTGATTTCCAAAATGGATCACAGCCAGAGCTTCCCGTGCTGGCTGAGATCCTTGATGATCTAAGAATTGTAATACTTGTGCTTTGGGAGGGAGCTGTAAGGTGATCATAAAAATGCAGTTATCTGATGGCTTGGCTTGAGATGTCTCCACCAGCGGCACTCCCAGGTTGGACTGTAAATACCTCTTTACTTGCATTATCTCTTCTGGAGTTAAATCTTGAAATACCTGGCTGCCAGCATCCTGACCACCTTCCTCTTGCCCCTTTGTCTGGGAATAATTTTCATAATAAGTCAGTTTTTCTCCTCTATTTTGGTACACCAAGACTAAGATGGAAATTATGGCGACGCCTATTGCTATGAGAGAATAAATCACTCTGGAATTCATTTTCTCAGATCTAAAGACAGAAACATACAGAAAGGGTTTGTTAAATTCTAAATTAAGTTTTAAACATGGACACAAATAATGAGACACTTGTTGAGCATGTAAGTTTCAAAAGTATAAATTTCTTGCATTTACAAAACACTCCAGAAATTGTTCAATCATATATTCACATCTTCAATAATCTTACCATCTGGCCACGATATTCCTATTCCATTAGCTTAAAACCAGGAACTCAGATGAAAACACTAGTTAGACACTTCTAAACTGACTAGAAGTTGAGACCAAGGAAATTATATATAGGCTAAAAGGAAGGATGTCTCTTATGCAAATGTGTCTTCAAACTATAATCTTCTGTTTTAACAAAATGCAATATGGAGAGCTTGAGAAACCTCGCTTTCCAGCCTCTAATCATTTTTCAAGTTGTCATCATTCCACATAAATTTCTGAACTGACATATGGTTGGGCTACCTTCTTTGTGCAACAGGTAAATTTATGTCTCTTCGACCGTGTATTTAAAGGATGACATGTTTGAGAACCAAACTCTCACTTTGATTGCCTTTGACTGCTTCTTATTTTTTTTTTAAATGAACCTGGCTTTCAAGGACTGTAGTTTGGTTGGTATTAAATCTGTTGTTAAAATTCTTTTTAGTAGTAGAATACAATTTATTAGAATACCAATAGAAAAATAATACTTATATCATCCTGGTAATTAAAACAAATAAAGGGATATAATTAAAGAAAAAGTACATATAATATCTATTTATAAGAAGAAAGGATTAATTCAGTCCTCAAATTTATCATTAAATTTAAATGATTTGGAACCATATTGAATTTTCTTATTACAGTAGCATTATACTAATTAGACAAAAGTTAAAATTTTGGATGTAGTACTGTACAGCTCCATGTATGATATTACTACCCAAAAATGGTTTCCAGTTTGAATTAAACTCTGTATCAGATTTACTTTTAAAAAATTTGCTAAAAACCTATCTTAGACCTCAAGGTATATTCTTACAATTCGGTTAGTTATTCATTCAAAGAAGGAATTAATGTGCCTATAAAAGGCACATAAATGCCTTGCAGCCATTAACAATCAGTATACAGTGCCAAGTCAGTATTTTCAAAGAGATGCAGTTTGAAAACATTTCATGAAACGTCCCTGGTTGCAATGGGTTTGCAACTTTCAAAATTTATTCTAGAGTAAATCATTTTACAATATTGTTGGGCTGTGCAACATTGCCACCACATGGAAAAGGAGGCCTCCAATTTGCTCACTACGTTTCAAATATTTTTAGGGTTAGAATTATTCATTTTAGTAATCAGGACTAGAGTGATACACCAAAGATAAAACATATTGTATCAATTCTCTTTGAGTATAGTGTTCAAAGAAAATGTAACATTCTTCTTCCACTTATAAATTATGATTAGAAAAACTGTCAAATTCAGCAATTGTTTCAGCAATTCTTTGACTACCAAATAGCTTACTGAAGATATTGAAATTAATCAAGTGTAAAAGAAATCTGAACAAATTATTATCTCTCTTCTGAAGAAAATTCTTGGAACCTTTATTTTTATAAAATAACTATTGAATAATGTAGCAAGAGGGAGAAAGCCGCGACTTACTATTTTCCCGTATTTATCCCAAACATTCAGTAAATTACTAAGGAGTGTATGATCCCTTGGAGGTGGTTCATTTCTATGTGTGTCAATTCAGACATATCGAGAGATAAAGGACAGAAGCATAAGAAGAGATCATTCATTATGAAATCCATGTTAAACCTCTAACATGATCATACAGTCTAAAATTTGGAGCTGTGAAGTCACTTCATTCTTTTGAGTTCTGAATTTTTTTCTGACCAACAGGATTTATTTAATTTATATGCCACCCATATCACTATCCAGAATGACTCTGGGCAGCTTATACTGGCAAAAAAATATATAAATATAAAATAATTAAAATTAACACCAATAAATAACAGTTAAAACCAAGAGTACATGGGTGGGCTTTTGTTTGTCACTCAACCTATCACCTCCAGTATAGCATTTCACTATCGGGGTCTCAAATCAATTGGAAGAGCCAGGTTTTAAGGCCAGAAGGGTGGAGACCGATCTACCCACAGCGACAAATGTTCCAGAGAGCAAATGGCATGTTAGAGAAGTCTCTTTTCCAGGATCCATTAGCTAAATTTCCGTGGCCAATGGAGTCTACAGAAGACCTTTTCTGCCAAAGAGAGTAGAATGGGCCAATCCCATTATGGTGAGATGGTTCCTCAAATAACCTGGCTCCGTGTCATGAAGGCTATGGAAGTGATAACTAATACTTTGAATTGGACTCAGAAGCAAATCAGCAACCAATACAGCTTGCATAACAGCATACATGCGCCACACTAAGGGCCTCCAGAACTATCCATGCCTCTGCATTCTGTAACAGCTGTAGCTTCCAAACACTCTTCAAAGATAGCCCCATGTAGAGTGCATTGCAGTAATTCAAATGAGAGATGATTAGGGCATGAGGGATTGAACAGATGTCCTCATGATCCAGGAAAGGGCACACCTGGTGCACAACATCCTGCTCTCCTCAAGCACAGTAATACAGTTTTTCTCCTAAAACAGACTTGAAACCCTAATGAATGGAGTCCAGATAATCAGTTTCATCCATGATATGCTAGAACTCAGCACAATCACGTTTTCCACCAGTTTTCCTTAAAGGAAAGAAAGGGACATTGGACAAAAATTGTCCAGGTTGACTTTTTAAGGGAGGAGGGGAACCAAGGACTCCTTTAATAATGTCAGGAGCACCCTTCATGCAATGATGTGTTGCTATATATGTAGCCTCAAGAATATTAAGCTTCTCTATTTTTAATTTTTCTAACATAAATACTTTTAAAAAATAGAGGATAAATTCATATATCAAATCCATTGCTTAGTATCTGGATGCTAACTTTCTTTGCAGTTACATAAGATCATTCTTTTCACTTAGCCCTAGGCCTTATAGTGCTAAAATGACAAATTCCATATTATGGACTATAGTTAATATCACATTGGCTTTTATATAATATTTCTTGCTAAAGTTGTACTAACATCTGCTAAGATTTCAAACCTAAAAAAAGCAGCGACTGTGCAAGACAAAATTGGTTGAGTTTAAAAACCTCTTCAATTGAATCACAGACTCATTGGATTGGAAGATGCCTTGGAAGGATGTGTTTTGCTGTATTTGAACTCTACTGCTTTTTAAGAAATGTCATTATTTTAAAAAAAAATCTGCCAAAACTGGATTTGAGGATTTTATTTATTTATTTATTTTGCTTAATGTTCTATGGTATTATTTTTTTCCCTTTGTTATCTATTCCTCTGGGGATTGGATCTGTAAACGATTATAATTTAATATATCTGTCTCGATTAGTTCTATAGCATTCTTACTGACAAATTTGCTTTTTGATCAGTAGAGGGTGCTATTGTTATTTAATTAAGTCTCTGGATCATGAACAAAGAAAGCAGTCAGAGGATTTTGATATTAAAATCTTTATGGACGATTTGCAGCAAAAATGACCTATTCTATTAATTCAAGATTGGAAGCATGGAAGAAAAATTTGGATTTAAGAAAAGATAAGATAATTGCTGATGTTAAACAGGTCAAAACCGGATGATACTGTGGAAAATACAACGTACCCTAGCTATTTGGATTTAGAAAGACAATTGGATAAAATGGCATTGCTAGAGCTTAGACCAGACATGTCAAACACAAGGCCCGGGGGCCAGATTCGGCCCACAAAGTGGTTTCATGTGGCCCACAAAGCCATCCTGGAAACAGTGAGGGAACAGCCCCCTCTGCCTTGGCCCTGGCCCAGGCCAGCTGGGAGCCAATGTACAATTTTGTGGTGGCCCTCTATGCTGAAACACATTCAGTCTTAGCTCCATAAGCCCCCCCCCCGCATGACCTGAGAGGAATAGTGAGGCTCCTCCAGTGAACCCTGTCTTGGCACTTGCCCTGTTCCCACCCCCTTCTGCCAGATACCCTCAGATCTATCCCACTCCCGCCCAGGCCCCCACAGGCACCCTTGACGCAAACGATGTAGAGCTGGCCATGCCCATCTAGTAGGCCACACCCACTCCATCCACACCCACCCAGTAGGCCACACCTAACCTGGCCACACCCACCCAGCCCCCTAAGGGTAACCGCAATGCTGATGCGGCCCTCAATGAAATTGAGTTTGACAACCCTGGCTTAGACAAATAAAATTATCTTTGAGATTTGAAGGAATCTTAAAATACCCTTGACAGGATTATTAAAATTATTGTACAAGCATTGTCAAAATTATTGAGTTGGGAAGGGTCCAAAATGGAAAGGGAGATAAGTGAAACATCCAAAGCAGTTCTTCATATGCAGGTAGGGGAAAAATTCCTAGAAATGTGATGTCTTAATTTTTCTTGAGAAGTACTACAGAGCAAGTTACTGCATAACCGCAAGATTAAATATTATTGACAAAGAAATCATTATTTTGAAAGAAACTCCTACTAGAACTTTTTGAAAGAGAAAGGAATATTCTTTTCTATCTAATTTTTGAGAAAGAATAAGTCTCATTTCACTGGGATAAACTGGAAGGAATAATTTTTGCCTCCCAACAACAAAGATTAAATTCTGTCTTAAAAACCAAGGACTTTATTGCCAAATATGGAGCAGAATTAGATCAACTCCCAATAGAATCAGAACAAAGTGAAAGTCAGTCTGAACAAGAACCCTCAGATAATTGATACTGGCTCAGGTTGTGGAGATAAAAGTCACAGCCACTGCTAAAGAACTTGAGGGACTCTTTGAATCAAAATGGATGGGAAATACATCACCTGGAAGATTAATTTAATATTAATAATTTTAATACATTAAAATGGGAAAAGACTTCATTATTTTATTTTATTGTAGTTGGATTGCATCCTGATGGGGTGGGATATTACAAATAATGATAAAATGTATGTTTGATGGCTTGCTTGATCTGACCTCATCAAGTTAGGTCTCCAATTTCATCATCTTGTATCAGATAGAGAAACAAAAGGGTTTCCTTCCTTACAAGTTTCTTGCTTCAACCACAACATCTCGCAGAAATGAGTTGTACAAAGAAAAGAGTTTTACAATTCCAGCGATTTTAATCAAGAAAGAAAGGTTGGACAGAAATGTATCAGATTAGTCTTGCTACGGTTTCATGTATAAAACAAAGTTTTATGAAAAGATTAACAAGCAAAGTCTATATTTGATTTTATTT